CTTTCTGAATTTTAGTTTCCTAATTTTCTAAATGAGAAAAATAATGATGATGTCCACTTGGCAGTGTTGTTATGAGAATTTGATAAGATTTTTACACTGACCTTAGGAACAAATTACTCTCTTATCTGTGCTACCCGTTTATTCTCATTCATTTAACAATGAATTTAATGAGCACCTATTACAATGCCAATGTTGCAGAGGCTGAGGATAAAAACAGTAAAAAAGACAGAGGAAGTCCCTGACCTAAAAAAAAATGTTGGTTCTAGTAGGGGGAGATAAAGTAGTCAACAAATTTATAATCAGAGTAATTCAGGTAGTGATTAAGTACCCAAGACAATACATCAAGGTCTTGTGCCAGAACCTAACTAGAGAAAGGATAGTGGGGATGAGTGTAATGGTTCAGGTGGGTTTGCTAGCATTAGACATTATTCTTAAAATAGCACACTGCTCCAAACATGCTAGATTGAAATCTATGATTTCTTTTTTTTATTGTCTAGCTCCTAATTTAAGGTTTCCAGTTTTATTGAGATGTAATTGATGCATAACATTGTATTAGTTTAAGATGTATAACATAATGATTATATATATGTACAAATCTATACTAATAAAAGAGTAATATGCTAATTAGACCAGGAGACCTTCCAGAAACCTTCTGGACATCCTTCCGGACAAAGCCTGGGGCTTGGCTGGCCTGCAAACTGCCCCCAAATGGCTCTCAGCCCCTCGCTCAGGCTGGCCACACACCCCCGTGGGGACCCCCACCCAGATGAGGGCATGGCTAGTCTGCAAACGGCCATCAGCCTCCTCACCCAGGCCAGCCACGCCCCCCAGCCAGGACCCTCACCCCGATGGGGGTGTGGCCGGCCTGCAAACCACCACAGGCCCCTCACCCAGGCTGGCACCGCCCCCCAAGGGGACCCTAACCCTGATCCCGAACCCCCTTCAGGGCAGATCAGCCAGCCCCCACCCATGCACCAGGCCTCTATGCTATCTAATAAAAGAGTAATATGCAAATTAACCATCACCCCCTCACTCCGTCACTCCCTCACTCTGTCACACCGCCACAAAGATGGCGGTGGCCACGGAGCTGGAGCGAGCAGGAGGCTTTGATTGCCCCCGGCACTGGAGGAAGCCAAGCTTCCCGCCTGCCCTGGCTGGCCCTGAGCTCCGCTCTAGGCTACAAAGTTTCAACTATAGAAGTTAAATAAATCCCAGATACCTGTTTCCATCCCCCGGGCAAGACCAGCCTGAAAATGGCCATCAGCCCCTCTCCCAGGCTGCCCAGGCCCCCCAGCGGGGACCCCCACCCTGAA